GAAATTTTTTGACTTTTGACTACTGTAGCACTTTCGTTTGTATTTGGCAAAAATTGTCCAATTATGGACTATTTAGGCTTAAAAGATTCGTCTCACGATTTCTCGACCAACTGTGTAATTAGTTTTTTTTCGTCTACATTTAGTACTCCATGCATGTACCGCAAGATTCGATGTGACACTTACTGCGCAAAAAATTTTGGTTTTTGGGGGGAACTAAACGGGGCCTTAGCTGACTACTCAAGTTGTATTAATATATTAAAAGAATAGAGGGACATCAATGTAAGCCAAGTGCTAGAATAGTACAGTAACTGTTGAAATCCATAAGGGGACTAAGGCCCCGTTTGGCAGGGCTTCTCCAGCGGCTTCAGGAGCCGTTTGGAGCCGTTTTCTGCCAAACGGGGTAAAATGAAACGGCTCCACCGATGAAGCCCCTAAAAACGTGCTCTCACAGAGCTTTGGGGTGGGAAGGAGCCAAAAATAGTGGCTTCTCCCGGCTCCTCCTCCAGACCCCTAAAAACATGCTCTCACAGGGGAAGCCATTTTACCAAACGGTTTACCAAAACCACTTCAGCTCCACCGGTGGAGCTGTTTGTGGAGCTGAAGCCAAAAAATATGGCTTCACTAGTGAAGTGAAGCCCTGCCAAACGGGGCCTAAATGTTGGTATAATTTTTTGTAAGGAACCGTAGAGCACCTGTGCTTCTATATACTCTGCGATAGAAACTAAGCTACACATTTAGTACAGATGCTGCAATTCAATTAACAATAACAGAAAATTGCAGCTCCTGAAAAGACTCGAATCAAAACCTACGGGTCTGTTTGTAACACATGTATTTGACATGCATCCTGCTAGAACTTTACAGGAATGGGGGAGAATTCTCGATCTAAGGGCCTGTTCGGCAGGACTAAAAAATACTGTTTCGGCTGATTGTTGTGAGAGAAAAATACTGTTCTGACAGGACGTGAATAGTGATTTTATGAGGTGGCTGGCCAGCCGGCAATCAGCCAGCCAGCCAGCCGAACACGGCCTAAACAATCTGCAAGGCACTGTGTGCCTTGGTGCGGAGCAAAAAAGCGTCAATGCTGGCATGAAGTGATAATAATGATGCAAATAAACTAACTAGTTTGTAAATCACCAGTCACCATCAATTGACAATTGGCATGTCAGACTTTGCATTTCTTTGGATCATGGTAACTGTGGTTCTTTGGATCATGGTAATTGTGGTAAGGAAATACATAAGCTTACAGCCATGTTTAACTACACTAGGACATTGACTTTACATGTATTGTGCCCATGAACCATCTTGGGGCAGTTACAAACTGGCATTGCCTGTCATCTGTCAAGGACATGGAAATTATGGGAATGAAGCAGATTATTCATGTGGAAGGGGATAGAATTTTTTTTTTCTGCAAGTTGAACCTAGTAAATGTAAAAAAAAACACATTGCACATATATGCATAGTTGAACCTTGTAACAAATTATGGAAGGAGCAAATCGGAGCTACAGACTGTTTGGTAGAGTAACTCATAAGGACACTATATACAGATCTGCCAAGTTGTCATCAAATACGCCGTGACGGGTGAAGCTTTCAGTTCACGGTGGATATCCAAAACGCGGAACTAATCCACAATGGGTTTATTAGTTTTTTTTTCAGTGCAGTCAACGCAAATGGCAGCTGTCACCACCAAAAAGGCAAAAACAGGGGTGAAAGTGGAACAGAGGACCCTGGAATTGAACCTATGAAGCATAGCAAGACGATCTAGTACCAAAAAAAAAGCTCCAACCCGGCGCAAGATTGGTACACCGGCGCAAGATTGGTACACGGTTTGCGCCGAACATACCATAGGCTCAGAAAATCATTTTGGACGCATCCGATGAAACTTCTAGGTGACGTGGGTCATGTGGAATCTCGTTTCGGTCTGTTTGGAGACAGTGTTAGTGTCAGTGCAAGATAGGTACAACGTTTGCGCCACTCACGTCACCAGCTCGCTGCCAGGCTGCGGCAGAGGCAGCCCCGCACAGCCAGGCGGCGATCGGGTGGGCGCAGGGCCCTATGCCGCGGGGCCAGGGCAGCGGCGCTGTGCCTGGAGGCGGCCTCCGGGCGTGGCTCCGCGGCAGCGTCGTCGTCCTCCGCTGCCTCCTACCTCGACTTGTCCGCCCCCGCTCTGAGCCCATCATCCACCCTATCCCCCCAAGCTACCCCCTTCCATCCTGGGGGTAGCGCGGCGGGACGCTCCAAGGCTCGTAGTTGGGCGGACGACGACCTCCTCGACAATTCCGATGCGGAAGAGGTGCAGACCACCTCCACGACCCCCTACTTGGACGCGGTTCGTCAGGAGCCGCAGCCGCTGAGGACGTCGAGGCGTGCTGCGAGTGGACGCCGTCGGAGAGCAGGAGGCAGTACCGCTGGTACCGCGGGGTCCGTGCCAGCGACGAGTGGAGGCCGGTGCCGCTACCGTCGAGCGCGTGCCTCACGTCCGCCACCTGCAGCACGGGGCGCAACCCCCGCCGCCCCAGCGCGGCCTGCGGCACACTCCACAGCGCCGGCACGGCCCCCTGCGACAGGTCGGCCTCGAGCCTTCCCCCCATATCGATGTCCCGGAGCTGGAGAGGTGGCGGAGGGGAGACTCGGGAGTCGGGGGCCAGGAGGTGGTGGAGTGGGGGTGGATGATTCGCGTGTGAGGCCACGTTTAGTTCGGTCGAATCGGCGCTGCCGAGTTTACCGTAGCTACACTGTAGCTACAGTAACATTTTGTTTTTATTTGGTAATAATTATCCAATCGTTGACTAATTAGGCTTAAAACGTTCGTCTCGCAAAGTACAACCAAACTGTGCAATTAGTTTTTGATTTCGTCAACATTTAGTACTCCATGCATGTACCGCAAGTTTGATGTGACAGGAAATCTTCTTTTTGCATAGTGACAAATTCAGAAAATCTAGGGAACTAAACGGGGCCTTGGGGGACTCCAGCCGGAGAGAACGCGTGCCGTTGCATGGCGTGTGATGGAAGGGGAGCTTCCTTTGACACGCAGTGACCAAAATGACCCTGCTGTTGGTAGAGCAGTATCGATGTTGCCATCTCTAGTCTAAGTGATATATGAAAGCGATTTTTTTTTAAAAAAAAACATGAAAGCGATTTCTCGTAACGAAAACAACAAAATCTATTTCACACTTTTATCGGTATATACTAGGCCCTACGTGTTTCGGGCACTAAAAGATAAACTCGACTAAAATAGAATGGACCGAGCTTGCGAAGAGAGAGACCAAACTAGTCGAGGCGCATTCGTGCATTGACTACTTGAAAGATACGATATCGACTAGATAAGCTTAGAAGCCTGAGTCATCCGTAGTTATAGGCCTAGCTCCCTCATTGTTCTCGTCCCGCTAATCCTTAATAACCATGTTGTGCATCAATGACGGAGCTTGAAAAAAATTATAGCCAGGGCGAGTTATAACACGAAGATGATCGAAAAAACTTATGGCCCAAATCGCACCGTATTCACATACTATATTGCACGAATTATAGCGAAAAAGCTAGAATCACACAAATTATGGCAAAAAGGTGGATGAACAGCATAAGATGTTATCTCAAATTTGCAGAATAAATTGAGGTAACCGGCGGAGCTGCTGCACCTGCTCTGCTGCTAACCTATCCGCGGTCGCGGCCGGCCCCGGCACCAAGTTCCTCTCCTCCTCCCTCCATTGCTCCTGGCGCGCCGGCAGGCAGACGAGCAGTGGGCCACGCAGGCGCCTAGCGGCGGCCAGCGAGTGGGTGGCGGTGAGCCGCGGCTGGCGGTGGTGGCCGGCGAGTGGGGTGGTAGCAAGACACGATTGGTGCCTAGCAGCGGACGGCGGCATCCGCGTCGATGCGGAATTGGGGATTCGGGAAGCTGAGCGCGAGCGCCTGATGGTGTTGGTAGACTGGGGATTTGGGGAGCCAAATTGGGCTCTTGTTTTGCACTTGGGCTAATCTAAAGTGACAAAAAGGCCCAGTTCCCACTGCCCCTGCAAAACGAACCGGTCATCGTCTTTTTCGCTACTCAGTGCTCGTGGCTCGCTCTCGCTCGGCGCCATGTCGCGGCGGCGCAGCCTCTGCCCGGCAGGAGCTAAGGAAGAAGAGGGCGTCCAGGGGTCTGGGACAATGCTGTCGGTAGCTGGGGCGGCCGCCCCACCCCGCCCCTAGGGTGGCTCCGTCAGTGTTGTGCATGATCATCACAGCTATCATTATGTACCAAATGCTCTCTCTACGTCCTTCGTTGAAGCTTCTTCAGCTATCGTGAAATAAAATTTCTTCCTCGAAGCCCTTGATTAGCCATGTTTATTGTAGCACCATACAAGCTAATCTTGGCCTAATTATGATTAAAAGTTCCATCTCACCAATTAGTCACTGTTTATGAAATTAGTTTTAAAATTAGTGCGGCTTGGTCCTTCTAATTATCATCTAGCCATAGTGCTAATTTTTAGCAGGTTGGATAACACAGGTCCTTATATTAGCATAAAAAAACTGTACAGCAGGGGGCTAATATAAATATTTTTTGACTGCTATAAACCGGCCGACGCTAAACAGGCCGACGCTAAACCCACACGCGTCGCACTTGCCACCTGGCCGATTAGGGCAGGGGCGCCGCGCCGCCGCCGTCCGTCGCCGCTCGCTCGGCTGCCCAGAGCCGCGCTCTTGGCCGCCGCCCGTCGCCTCCAGCAAAGCTCTTCCTGACGCCCATCTCCTCCCATACCCATGGCCGCCGCCGATCGTGCCTCCACTTCCTCCGCGGGCCAACAGGCTCTCCGGCCGCCGCTGCCCCCGCCCGCGCGGCTCGCCGGGGTCTTCCACAGACGCGTCGCCTCCACTTCGGGCAGGCTCCTACGGGGGCGCGGCGCGCGTCCGTGTCCTGCCGCAGCTCGAGCACCAGCAGCAGATCTGGCGGGGAGGGGAGACTGACGTACAAGGATGCCGGCGTGAACGTCGACGCCGGCAACGAGTTTGTGCGCCGCATCGCCAGGATGACACCCGGGATTGGCGGCTTCAGCGGTCTCTTCGCTTTGGGTAATGCACTGGCATGGCATCACTTCAACTTCAGTAACTTAATTATCCACCTTTTTGGGGGTAAAAGAAGAAGCAGCCTTTTTCTGAGGGTTCTTACTTTCTACATGTGGCACAATTTGCAATTGCAACTCGAGTAGGGAGTAGGCAAAAATATGTTGGGTGAAGACTGAAGAACGGTTGTGGTGATGATGAACACTTGTTGGGTGCATAGGTGTAAGTTAATTCTCAGTTTTAGCTAGTGGAAGGTGCAAATTTAATGTACTTGTTGTTTGCTCAAGATATGTCAGTGCGACAATTGTAGATGTGTGCAATGCAACATGAAGTTGGATGTTTTTTTGGTTGTGTTGAAACAAACATGTAGTTGGATGGTTCATTTGCTGCTGCTTACTCGATGATCCTTCCTTGCGCTCACTTTCTGAAATTTTGCTTTCATGTTCCTTTATCTGAAATTCTGAACAGGGGACGACTACCTTGCTGCTAGCGCTGACGGAGTGGGGACAAAGCTGAAGCTTGCTTTCGAAACTGGTATTCATGATACAGTTGGCATTGACCTGGTATGAGAGATTAGCTTCGATGCACGCTGTTTTCCTTATCTCTGTTGCAAGTTGACTGAATGGATTTAGGTCATTATGACAGGTGGCAATGTGCGTCAATGACATCATAACTTCAGGTGCAAGACCGCTATTCTTCCTAGATTACTATGCAACGAGTAAGCTTGATGTTGATGTTGCAGAGAAGGTACTGAAACTTTATGAAAGTAATTTTTGTCCTTCTCATACTTATTTTCTTGGTCTTTGGCTCATGGAACATTTCGATTATGCCCATAAGCACTTAACAAATTATTTAGGTTATCAAGGGGATTAAGGTTGGGTGCCAACAATCAGGTTGTCCTGAATACAAAAAGCAAAAAAAAGCTATCAGGTTTTGCTCTCCTAGGAGGGGAGGTAAGATTTTCTTGATTAAATTACCATGACTTAGCAATTCAACCCTGCAGTATTATTGTCATAAGTCACAGTAGCTGTATATGAATGGATCAAATGTCTTGCACTGCCAGACTGTCTTTGATTGCTGCATATTATTATCTTGTAATTGTTCACTCGATTATTTATCTGGATTCTTTGGGATAACTCGCTTTACTAAGAAGCAGAATTTTTAATGTTTGTACTTGCTACATGATTAATAATATCAGTGTAACAATTTTTTTTTTTGCTTTTTATACTTTTATAATTCCATACAAATTTAAATGAATCCACATTGAAGCATTACACATATGCATTAATTTTATGAAAAGCCAAAAACAGTCGAACTGATTACTGAATAATTGATCATTACAGACAGCAGAAATGCTTGGTTTCTATGCAGAGGGTGAATATGATCTATGTGGTTTTGCTTTGGGTATTGTGGAAAAGGATAAAGTCATTGATGGAAATAACATTGTTAAGGGAGATGTCCTTATAGGTCTTCCTTCCAGCGGGGTTCATTCTAACGGATTCTCTCTTGTTAGAAGGTATTACACCTTCTTGAATTCCACTTGTTTCAAATCTGTAATAGTAAATTTATCTATATTTTTTTTATCTCTTCCTATTGTTGAACATTATATGTATCTTGTTAACGATGGCTGAAAATCCTTAATTTTCTAGAGTAAAAAAGGGGCAGACCCAGTGCCGGAGGCTCCCACATGAGTGGGGTCTGCGGAAGGGATAAACCGAGACACCTTAATTTTCTAGAGTATTGGAGAAAAGTGGACTTTCCTTGAGTGACCAGCTCCCAAGAAATGATGGCATAACAACTACTGTTGGTGAAGCTCTAGTGGCTCCAACTGTTATCTATGTTAAGCAGGTTGGGTTTGCTTATCTATATCTCATATTTCCTTCAGACTTTTACTGATGAACTTTTAATCTAAATTGTTTGAAATGGAAAAAGGTGCTTGAGATTATTAGCAAGGGTGGTGTTAAAGGACTAGTCCACATTACTGGTGGTGGCTTTACTGAAAATATTCCAAGAGTGTTTCCTTCTGGACTCGGTGCCAAAATTTTTACTGGGTCATGGGAAGTGCCTCCTGTCTTCAGCTGGCTTCAACAGGTAAGAACAAATGATCCACGAGATCCAACTACGACTTTCAGCATCTGCATGCGCTGCATATGTACTCTCTGCCTAGGTCTAGATACCTTTTAACTTATACAATCATTATGTATTTTGCAGGCTGGGAACATTGATGATGCAGAGATGCGGCGAACGTTCAATATGGGCATCGGAATGGTTCTTGTGGTAGGAAGAGAGTCTGCGGACAGAATTATTGAAGAGACCCGTGGAGCAAATCCTGCTTCTCGCATTGGAGAGGTGATCCAGGGTGAAGGGGTTCAGTATGTCTGACCCTTTATGCCTTGGCTGCTTGCTTGTAGTGGCTTGAGACTTGTTGGTCGGCTGGGCAAAGCAGCCCAGTTTTGTAACAACATAATATGAGATTTGAGTGGCTCCACGGTAACTTGCCTGTAAAATCAATAATCTTATGGATTTAATATGAGATTTGGATCAAAATTACTAGCCACTAATAACAATTGCCATATCAGAGCTTGCTTGTCTTTTGCATCATGGTAGCATCAACAACTGAGGCTACAAAATCTAAATACTTGCAAGGAGTACATTTATATTTAAATCCATAAGATTATTGATTTTACAATTTTTTACATAGATTGCAGTAGGTGATTACGAACTGAAATTATGGGAATGAAGCATATCATCTCAATTATTAGCTGGTGCAATCTTATGTATGTGCTGGTTTTAATGAGGAAATGCATATTAAAAAACCACATTCCACACATATATATGCATAGCTGAACGCCTAAACAGATCCGTGAACTTTGGATGAGTAATAACAGATCCGTTAACGGTGAAACGTTCAGCTCATCGAAGATGATCAGTGAACGTTTGATATGTGAACAGTGAAACGTTCAGCTCATCGAAGATGATCAGTGAACGTTTGATCTGTGAACAGTGAAACGTTCAGCTCATTGAAGGTGATCCATGAACGGTGAAACGTTCAGCTCATCGAAGATGTCCAAAATGCAGAACCAATCCACAAGACTGATTTTTCTGGTGCAGACACCACAAAAATGCAGCATTCACCACCAAAAGAGATTTGGTTCAGGAATTAACACCAAAAGTCCAGATCAAAATGGAACAGTTTTTTTATCCAGAAAAGTATAGGTGGTTCAGGGAGCCGGCGAGCATGGTGGAGCTGAGGCCGTTACCGACCCTGCTGACTCAGCATCAATGATATAACTAGTTCACACAAGCAGCGTCCTGCATCCATACATACACAATCACTGAAATACAAGACAAGGATTGCACACATAAATAGCACACGATGTAATCGTTACATAACGTTAAACGGAGACCTTGCAACAATTATCATTACAATTCGAGGACTTGGCATGATATCAGGTAATCCATGGCCCCAAGGAGCACTTGGCACCAGCAATAATGCCGAGTAGAATACTAGCCAATGCATTGTCCTGACGACACACACACACGAGTACATGACACAGATTGGATCGTTCATGCAACTAGAACACATTCAGTGTTTGAGACACCCTACCCTGGATCACACAAAAATGTTAACCCCACATAAACAACTGCCTCCAATCGAGTGTACGTAGGAATCCTACCGTAGGATTGCCCTTTGCACGTGGGCAGTCTCTAGTTCAGTACCCTGTCTCATCACATTCTGAGCGGCAAATGAACAGCTTCAGTTGAAGCCCTCTTCCCTCCTACAGGGTCTGTCTCTTCTAGTTGCTGTCTGTCTCTTCTGATAGCAGATACGGCACAAGCACACCAGCAGCGTTGATAGCATTGCCATTGCTGAAGTTCTGCACGCCCTGCCGTAGCCGGGCTTCCAAATCTGAGAAACCAGTTCTCATGCCCACAGAGGTGCGGCGCACAAGACGGTGATTTTCAGCTGAAGGATTCAGGGATTCAACCTTGACAATGATGAACATTGGAAGGGTTTCACTTTCATCACTGAATGCCTCCAGGTTCAGTTTTACCTCCAGTAGATATTCACAGTTCTGAACACCCATCACGATCTTGTTATACTGGGCATGATCTTGCTTTTCATATTTCACTAAGTACAGCTCCCTTGCTGTCTGACCAAATATCTCCTCCCCAACCTCTTGCGAGGTAGTAGCATAAATCTCACCTGTTGAATCCGCTAGCTGAACGAAGATCTTGTACCTATAATCACAAGCTACAAAGGTCATGTTGCATCCGTCGCAGTTCCACCACTCATATCCATCGATAGTGATTGCCCCGTTGCATTGATTACCATTCACCACCAATGGGCATGCTGCATAACACAAACTCTCGCTGTTCATAACTGAGAGAGTAGCTTTAACAGTGAACAACTCTGGCTTAACCAGTTATCCCAAGGAATTTCTGATTTCAGTAACCGTTTTCCAAGGAATTTCTGCTACCATGCCTTGATTAACAGAGGTTGTTCCTGGACACTGCTCCTTGGGTACATTTTTCATCTCAAAGGGTTTATAGTTTCCAATTATGTCGTGCTCGATGTTCATTTCATATTTCCCGTCATTTTAGTTTTGGTCTTTTGTTTTGTTTTATAGGCTATCAGGAAGCTTGTCGCGGGGGTCCTCCTTGTATTGCCAAGGAACAAAATCTCCTCATCGGACTTTGTCAAGGAGCATTGTTGATTTTGCCATACCATCTCATTAGTCATAATGTAGTTGATCAGCATGTCGATGGGCCACAGCTCTAGGAAGAAAAAGAAGCGCGGCGCGGCCGGCCGCAAGGCAGCCAAGGACCACGCCGTGCAGCTCGAAGGAGACGAGACCGCCCTTGATGAGGAGCTCACCGCCCTGCAGCTCACCCTTGCGCCAAAGGTCAAGCAGGCCTTGCGGCCATCTCAGGCCGATGAGACCGCCGACGGCGCCGGTGAGGAAGATGACGAGGTTGATCGAAGAAGGAAGGAAGGAAGGGAGAGAAGCCTTGTCAAGAGTGGTGGCGCTGGCGGCGGAGGCAAGCTGTCGTCCAAGCCCCGTTCATGGCATCCAGCTCAACGTCGAGCCATCCAAACCTTCTCCGATCAGGTCCAAATTTTGGGCTATCGGAGAGGAGACCGATGAGTCCGAGAGTGACGAACCGGAGGAGCCGCGGACTCCCTCAACACCGGAGTTCATCAAAGCCGCCATTGATGCGGGGTTTACGACCGAACAGCTCTACAGAGCCGAACAAGCACTAGGCTCAGGTAAGAATCCATCCTTCGGCGATCTTCTTCTCGCTAAATCCATCGTTTCAATGTTGGTCCAGAGGAAGCTCATGGGAGCGCCATGGTACGGGCCGCTGCCTTCTCCTCGCGTCTCTCCACTGAGAACCCTTGGGGACATCCTTGACATGGCATCATTCAGGATGTCAGGTTCCCGCGGTGGTTCGATTCCGTCCCCTAGATGGTCGAGCTCGCCGGAGATTCTCGGTCCAGCAAGGCAAGATGATGCTTCAAAAAAATTTGAATCACCGAAACTTCAGGATCATGATCCGTTTTTTCCTCCGCTATCTCGAGCGAGGCTTCCGGTTGCGGCAACCGCGTGTCCTTCGCGTGGAGCGGCTGAGAAAGCAGGTCGAGGTTATGTCGTGGCTTCGTCGGCTTTGGTCGAGCATGCTGCATGCGTTGCGGAAGGGAAGGATCCGGAGAGTAAGGGGGTGGAGTCAAACATATCAGAAACTCCGATCCACCAGGGAACCGATCCCGGCTTCTACTCACGTACTACCGTGGCATCCTCGGACTCTACTCCGAGGGTCGTGTGCGGTCTTGAGAAAAAATGGGGAGAGGCTCGTCCTGGCATCCAGGATCGTGTGCAGCTTGGGCCAGGAAAGTTCTTTAGGCCCACCAAAGGACTAAACGCCCTATTCCTCCGAACCAGTGCCCGACTCCGTCCTCGTTGCAAACCGAAGCCGCCGCCACTTACCTCTTCGCCACAGCGACGTTCCTTCGCGGAAGTTGTGCGTGAGGGCAAGACCATGGCGGCGCCAGGAGCAGGCAATGGAGGAGGGTTTGGAGAGCGAGGAGGAGGCAGAGGTGCGGGATTCAACCCCGGTTTCAACCCGGGATTTAATCCAGGGTTCGGGGAAGTGGTCGTGGACACAATTTCCACCCGCATGGTCGAGGTCGTGGTCACGGCGCATATGGAGGTGGGCATGGAGGGTATGGCGGCTATGGCAACGGATATGGCCATCATGGTCAAGGACGTCGGCCTTACTTTGGTGGAGGCGGATACGGCGGTGGACGCCGTCCTTGGTCCGGCCAGGGGCATTCCAGTCATCTGTCTATGGGGCCTGTTCCGAATTATGGTGGCGCCAACCCTAACCAGCAACAGCAGGCCGGCGGGGGGCAACCTCTCCAACAGCAACCCGGTGGTGTCTTGGGGCACCCTTCTCAGAACGCGGGGCCCCTCAATACCAGAACGCGGGGGGCTCCATCCCGTTCCATGGGGGAGGGTCCCAGGCAATGGGGGGTTCATTCCCTCCCTAACTCGGGCGCGCGGGGTGCGCAGGGGGGGTCACACCAGTTGGTTGAGCCGGCTCAAGGGAAGGCACCGGAGGGTGCTGCTCCTACCATGGGGGCAGCGCCTTCACTGGACAACGTGGCTGCAACAATGACCACGACATCGGCTTCGGCAACTGCAGCACCACATGCGACAAAGGAGGTACAGAAAGGCATTGTCCCACCGAATGCAAATGCTTCTAAAGTAAATGTCGAGGTACCGGAGTCATCAAAAAATGTAGGGAAAAAGAAGGGTACACCGTTTTGTTATCGCTGCCACACTAAAGGTCATACCATTCATGAGTGCACTACAGTTTTATGTTGCGATATATGTTATGGTGACCATGTTACTAAGTTGTGCCCAAATAAAAAGAAAATGAACGTTACTGCTATCCCTTGTGGCTATGCTGTAGAAGGTCTGGGGTTCTATTTTATACCAGTCAATGAAAATCCTAAGGTCATTGTAGAGGAAAAGTCTGCTACGGTACGTGTGTTGGAAGGTTCCATTACTGCTGAGCTGTTAGCAGTGGAACTGGAAAATCTACTACCTGGCAAGACCAAGTGGGTGATTGAGGACAAAGGCAAGGATGCCTTCACCACTAATTTTCCTTCCTCTGACCTTTTGGACACTATGGTTTACTGGGGCCCCATGGTTACAAAAACTGTGAAAGGCAAAATTCAATTTGAAAAGAGCGTGGAGGATGTTTACAAGTATGAGATTGAGAAGGTCTGGGTGCAGTTTAGGGGGCTACCTAAGGAATTTAGGGAATTCCCCATTATCTGGGCAATTGCCTCTATCCTAGGTGTACCAAGAGCTGTGGATACTAAATTCATGAAGAAATTTGGAAGAGCAAGAATGAAAGTAGCGGTGCTAGATTCCAACCTCATCCCAGTCTTTGTGGATGTGGTCATTGGGGACTATGTTTACTAGCTACACTTTGGGGTGGAGCAGGGTATGCCTGATGGTGAGCCAGAGCTAATTGATCTAGACTCTACCATGGAGGATGATGACCCTAAAGGGGAAAAACCAAATGAGGACAAAACTAATGGGAAAATGGATATTGATGGAGGTAAAGAGGGGGATCACGTGCCTAACAATGATGCTGGTAATCAGCTACCAGCCGCTGGTGCTGCTACTGATGCTACACAGCAACAAGCAAAAGGGGCTGATACAATGCCCTCTCAGGGAAAGCCAGTGAAAGATCCTAACAGACCAGTGATTGTCCTTTCTCAGAATGTGAATGCAAATGGGGATGGCCAGTGGAAGCCTAAATTGATGCCCCCTCAAACAGACTCCGGGAACCTCAATAATTTGAAAGCACATAAGGGTGGGACAGTGTCTCCTTCGAGATCAAGCAAGAGGACTGCAGCAACTATGGATCAGGATTCCGTGGACAAGGCAACAAAGTTGAAGGCTAAAAGGAACATGGATACTACACCAGACAAAGGTAAAGAACCACAGCCTTGCTCTTTTATATCTCGTGATGATTCTTCTTTGCTAAATTCTGCTACATCTATTGGAGTTGTTTTAGGGGATAATGAGTATGAGATATTGAATTCCTTAAATTCTTTAAGGTACTTACAAAAGTTCAGATTAAATCAAAATAAAAAACTAGTGGACGATAACACTATAGTGTTGGATGATGCATCAACAGTTTGTTCTAACGATGATGGTATAGACTTAGAAGCTTTAAACTTTATCTGTTCTGAAATTTCAGAAGGACTAGGTGATGGGGGTTGCGACCCTAAGTGTCTACAAACCCCTGTATCACGGAAGAAGAGTCCATGTAGACATAAGAAAAAAACTAAGAATCATTCTAGATGAAAGGCATATTCTGGAATTGCAACGGGTTTGCAGATTGTAAGAAGTATAGATTCCTGTCAGATTTAACAAAAGAGAAAAACTTGGATTTCATTGCCTTATCAGAAACTGGTAGAGCTAATTTCCCGCAATCGACCTTGAATAATATCTGTGCAGGCAGAGATTTTATTTGGCATTGCATGGCTCCACGTGGTAGGTCTGGTGGCATGATTCTAGGTATTCACTTATTAACTTTTGACATAGGAGAAATAGAGGAAGGGGAGTTTTTTATTCGTTTCAAGGTTAGACATAGAGAAGATGATTTTAAGTTCAACCTGATTTCGGTGTACGGACCAGCACAGCAGGAGTATAAATCACATTTCTTATCCGAAATTGTTAGGGTATGTTCTAAAGAAGCTTTACCTATTGTTATAGGTGGCGACTTTAACATTATTCACAGACCGGATGAGAAAAATAATGACAACTATAATGATAGATGGCCGTTCATGTTTAATGCTGTGATTGATTCCTTAAATCTCAGAGAAATAGAAATGACAGGACGAAAGTTTACTTGGGCTAACCATTTTCAGAATCAAACTTTTGAGAAATTAGATAGAGTACTAGTTTGTACAGATTTAGAGGCTAAATATCCGCATACCACCGTATATGCATTAACTAGAGAAATATCTGATCACACACCTCTACTTTTATCCACTAATAACCCATTGTCAGCATATCAACCTCAATTCAAATTTGAATTAGGTTGTTTCTTTGAAGATAATTTTCGTGAGATGGTTACGGATGTGTGGAACAGTACACTAGTTGATGGCTCACCTATAGAGAGATGGCAAGCGAAGATTAGACGGCTTCGCCAGTACCTCAGAGGATGGGCAAAGAGTGTC